GGCAGTCAGCAGTCAGCACGAGGCCATAGGAGGCTGGCCCCTACCTGAACTCCTCCGTGGGGTTAGCTGAGGCTTCAGTCGGCTTAGCCGCTGCCCACTCCTGCTTCCCCCAGGAGCTCATCCTAAGAGCGCCCCCTCCCCCCCACCGAAGTGCAATGACAGCCTGCAACAGCGCGCAGGGGTTACGCGGTGCACCTGCCTGCTGGGCCGAGCGCGCTGGCGCTGCCCTCAAGGTGCAAACCTTTGCTTGCCCTCCGCCCAGCTGCTGCTCCCCCTCCCTCCCGGGGCATCCATTAGCCCCGCATTTCTGCTTCTGTGCCTTCTGCAATCTCCCTTTCGCCTCTGAGCAGTCTCCCACCTCCCTTGGCTCAAGGAGCAGAAGACAGCAGCCGCTCGCTGGGGCTGGGGGTGGGGAGGGTGGCTGCTTCCGGATCCGTTCCCTCCTGCCCCGCAAGTGTTAATCCCCGCACACCCACGGGGAGGCCGGCCTCCCCACGAGCGATTTCCCCGGGCCTGCCTGGCTGGGGATCAGGCCCATTGTTAATAAGTAATGACAGCCCAGCTCCTCCGTGGCTTCCCCTGGGGCTTTGTGTCAGAAACATCTTCCCTGGCTGCCGCTCGAGCTGACAAGCTCCGGCTCCCGAAGGCAGCTGGGAACACAGGCCAGCCTCCGCCAGGAAGCCCCGCGTCATCGGGCCCAGAGCCCCCCGGGGGGCGGGGGAGGGGAGGAGACAGAGAGGGCAGTGAGCCCGCCCTCTGCCCTTCTCAGGTGAGGATGACATCAGTGTGTGCTGGGACCGCGTGTCCCGAGAAGGGACCGCAAGAGGTGGGGCCGAGCTCCTCCGGCCAGGCCAGTGGTGGCTTCTCACAGCCTCACACCAGCTGGAGACCTCACAGCCTCTTCCCAGCCCCTGCTCTGTGGAGAATCGGCTCACTGGGGTGCTTGTGGCTGTTGACCATTTTCAGGTTCCCGGGAACAGGGTAGTTCCAGAGGTCTTGCTTGCTAGCGGGAAGTTCTTTCTTATGTCTAACCTCAGTAATGCAGCACCTTCAGCATTTTAACGTTTGCCCAGAAAGAGTTCACAAACTAAAGTATCCTGGAACCTTCGGATGAAAAAGAAAATATTTGGTCTGTTTTGCCAATGCTGGGTTGTGTTTTTAAATATAGCCTTTTGGGGCCGGTGCTGTGGCACAGTAGGTTAATCCTCTGCTTGTGTGCCAGCATTCCATATGGGTGCCGGTTTGAGTCCTGACTGCTCTTCTTCTGATCCAGCTCTTCTATGGCCTGGGAAAGCAGTCCTTGGCACCTGCACCTGCGTGGGAGGCCCAGAAGAAGCTCCTGGCTCCTGGCTTTGGATTGGCCCCGCTCTGGCCGTTGCGGCCATTTGGGGAGTGAACCAGCAGATGGGGGACCTCTCTTTCTCTCTCTCTTCCTCTCACTGTCTGTAACTCTACCTCTCAAATACATAAATAAAAATCTTTTTAAATAATAGTCTTTCTTTTTATTCCAGTATGGCGAGGCCAGCAGATCAGAAGAAAAGAGTTAGCTAGACACCCAGACCCCAGGAGGAGGAGCCACAGCACTGCATGGTGGGGGGCGGGTGGGGGCGGGGAGGCAGAGGGAGAGGTTACTGTTCTGCTTCTGGTTGGCATGGAGAATTGAATCATGGCACATTCCTAGCAGCGTGACTAATACTGATAGAATTGGGGAACAATCCACATGTTCTTCAGCGTAAGAAGGGCTGGCCAACAATGCACCAGGCGTCCTACAGAGCACTACACAGCAAATGACAAGAAACACGAGGGGCCGGGCCCTGTGGTGCAGCAGGGGAAGCTGCCGCTCGGGACACCCGTCCCCCATGTCAGAGTACCTGGCATCGAGCCCCACCTCTGCTGGCTTCCAATCCAGCTCCCTGCCAATGCGCACCCTGGCAGGCAGTAGGCGATGACGCGAGTCCGCGGGTCCCTGCCACCCATGTGGGAGACCTGCAGGGGGTTGTTGGTTCCTGGCTTTGGCCTGGCCCAGCTCCAACTGTTGAAGGCATCTGGAAAGCAAACCAGTCGGTGAGATCTCTCTCTCTCTCTCTCTCTCTCTTCTCTCCCTGTTTTTCAAAATAAATAACTAGGGGCTGGTGCCGTTGGCTCACTTGGTTAATCCTCTGCCTGCGGCGCCAGCATCCCATATGGGCACCGGTTCTAGTCCCGGCTGCTCCTCTTCTGATCCAGCTCTCTGCTGTGGCCTGGGAAAGCAGTAGACGATGGCCCAAATCCTTGGGCCCCTGCACCCACATGGGAGACCCGGAAGAAGCTCCTGGCTCCTGGCTTCGGATCGGCGCAGCTCTGACCATTGCAGCCGTTTGGGGGAGTGAACCAACAGAAGGAAGACCTTTCTCTCTGTCTCTCCATCTCACTGTCTGTAACTCTACCTCTCAAATAAATAATTAAAATCTTTTAAATAAATAACTGAATACATACATACATATAATGTTCAAGAAGATGTGTTGAAGTTTTAAAACTTGTAGAACCATTCACACAATGCCATTTCACATAGGTAAGAGCAACATGATAAATCTCCCATCATTTGGGGGTGTACTTACATACACGCACACGAATGAATAGGAAAAAAAATGTCTGGGCGGCGACACGCCCGAGTTAGCAGTTTTGACCTCTAGGGAGGGTCTTGCCAATGACAGGGTGCTCAACAGCCGAGGTCCACGTTGGGCAGAAATGGCCAGCCCCAAGGACACTGCCTGACCTCGGGCTTCACCGAGGCGGGCCCTCAGACTAGTTGAGCACGAGTCCTTTCCCGAAGCGGGATCACAGCAGCTGAGTCCCACGTCTGGCACAGAGGACTTGGGGTGCGGTGAGGAGGGAGGAGGAGACAGGGAACCTTGTGTCTTGCTAACGTTCGACTTGGTTCATGCAGGCTGCATCCGTGTACCTAAGCTGGAACCAGAAGGACAGACAGAGATTTTGATTGGCTGGTATCTGTGACTCCGCCCCCTTTCCTAGCCCAAGTCCTCCATGCTCCCAGCAGCAGCAGGATCCGTGGGTCCACCCAGCTGCAGCGCTGATCCAGTGTCCTTCTCTTCTGGTTTTTGCTCGCCTCCACTCTCTCCTCCTCTGACTGTGCCATCCTAATACAGGGAACATTCCTTTCTCGGAACATGTTTTTGGCACTTTGCAGAGTCAGTGTGCCAGATGTGACGCTAATGCTGGGGACAGGAGCGAGAGCGCCGGGCAGGGGACAGAGAGCAGTTTCACTCTTCGCTGGAGGAGAGGTTTAAGTAAGGTGCAGTCACATCCCAGAGGAAGGAAGCATGCTCCGACCAGCACAGCCATGGTTTAGATCAAGGCAAGCTTCTGTAGGTGGGTGGCATTTGTACTTGACCTTGAAGGATGGAGAAGGAAGGAAAGAACATTCCAGGCCGGCACCGTGGCTCACTTGGTTAATCCTCCGCCTGCAGCGCTGGCATCCCATATGGGTGCCGAGTTCTAGTCCTGGTTGCTCCAGTCCAGCTCTCTGCTGTGGCCCGGGAGGGCAGTGGAGGATGGCCCAGGTCCTTGGGCCCTGCACCCACATGGGAGACCTGGGGGAAGCTCCCGGCTCCTGGCTTCAGATCAGCGCAGCGCCGGCCATGGCAGCCATTAGGGGAGTGAACCAACGGAAGGAAGACCTCTCTCTCTGTCTCTCTCTCTCACTGTCTATAACTCTCTCTGTCTCTCTCTCTCTCACTGTCTAACTCTGCCTGGCAAAAAATTAAAAAAAAAAAAAAAATCCAGCACAAGGGAAGAGTAGGAATCCAAGCAGACAGGTGGGGAGGCTGGTGTTATGGCACAGTGAGATACACCACCACCTGCAACACCAGCATTCCCGAGTGCCGGTTCGAGTCCCAGCTGCCCTGCTTCTGATCCAGCTCCCTGCTAATGTGCCTAGGAAAGCGGTGGAGGATGGCCTGACTATTTGTATTGTGGCCTATGTCCTAAAATTTTTATTCTATAAAAAATAAATACATTTCTATTTATTTTTATTTTCTCTGCGGAGAGGCAAGGTAAGCAGGATTTACTTCCCAGCGAGAGAGTGAATGTACATTCACCCCGGAGCGTGGGCCACCCGGCTCGGAGAGCTGCCTAGGAGGAGACAGCGTGGGGCGGGCCAGAGAGAGCTCCGAAAGCAAGGGCCAGAAGCCAAAAGCAAGAGGGATCATTCTCCCGTGTAACAGTCACTTCTATGGGGCAGGGGGTGGCGCCCTAATTGAATAGACAAGTGGATTGCAGTCTGGGTGTGCCTGAAGCTTTCTGGGTGTTTCGTGGCACCTCCACATAGCACTTAACTGCCACGTGGCCATCATGGTATCTTCTTCCTTCCTGGTCCCAGATGAGACACTGGTGCATCATGGGAAAATGCGAGTACTGGATTGGCAGTAACGTAAGGGGTGGAGCTACCAAGCAGGGAGAAAAATATTCCAGCTCAACTATTCCAACCTAGTCTTCCTGCCCAGCCCCCCTATATCACTTGGGCTCCTGCTACCCCCACGGGAGATCTACATGGAGCTCCAGGCTCCGGCTGGCCCAGCCCTGGACATTGCAGCCATCTGGGGAGTGAACCAGCAGGTGCAAGATCTCTCTCTCTCTCTCTCTCTCTTTAAAGATTTGTTTTATTTATTTGAAAGTCAGAGTTTTAGAGAGAGGTAGAGCCGGAGAGAGAGAGATCTTCCATCTGCTGGTTCACTCCCAGATGACCCCATCAGCTGGAGTTGTGCTGATCCGAAGCCAGGAGCCAGGAGCTTCTTCTGGGTCTCCCATGCGGGTGCAGGGGCCCAAGGACTGGGGCCATCCTCTGCTGCTTTCCCAGGCCACAGCAGAGAGCTGGATGGGAAGAGGAGCAGCTGGGACACAAAGCAGCACCCATATGGGGCACTGCAGGTGGCAGCTTTACCCACTACACCACAGCGCCGGCAGCCCCCAGTTGAGGTTTTGCTCCAAACTAGTGTAATGTGCATTTGCTGCACTGTTCAAGAACGTTCGACTCTGCCGGCTGCGATGGGCATTAACCCGCTGCACCACAGCGCTGGCCTCTCTCTCTCTCTCTCTTTCTCTGTTTTTCCCTCTCTGCCACTCTTTCAAGTCAATAAATAAATATTTTTAAGAAGCACAGGGAGGTGAGAGTACAGCATCTTTGTAGGCTCCAACCTCATTGGAAAGTTCAGAGGTGACAATCCAGCCACTCCAGTGTCTCTCACGCTTGAGGGGTGGCTTTCTCTTCATCTTGCCCTACAGCCTCCCACGGTGTTGCATTCATTCTCCAATGCCAAACTCCGGCTCCCCTGCAGCTCCAAGTTCCTTTCAAAATGGCTGCCATGGCTCCAGACCTCACATCCTCACACAATACCAGCCAAGGGAAAAGAGAACAACTTCCTCCATCATCTACCAAAAAAGACACCATTGGTGTCACTTTCCCATAAGGCCACAGCAAATAACTTTTTTTTTTTTTTTTGACAGGCAGAGTGGACAGTGAGAGAGAGAGACAGAGAGAAAGGTCTTCCTTTTTGCCATTGGTTCACCCTCCAATGGCTGCCGCGGTCGGCGCGCTGCGCTGATCCGAAGCCAGGAGCCAGGTACTTATCCTGGTCTCCCATGGGGGTGCAGGGCCCAAGCACTTGGGCCATCCTCCACTGCACTCCCGGGCCACAGCAGAGAGCTGGACTGGAAGAGGGGCAACCGGGACAGAATCCGGCGCCCCGACCGGGACTAGAACCTGGTGTGCCGGCGCTGCAGGCAGAGGATTAGCCTATTGAGCCACGGCGCCAGCCGCAAATATCTTCTGACATTTCATTGGTTCTGGTTGGACTATGGGCCTGTCCCTGGATCAGTGGCTGGGACTGGGTGGATTTCTAGGCCCTGGAAGGGAGATCTGGTTTCAGGATGGCTTCAGCTTAAAGACAATCCTGGTTTGTATGAGACAAATAAGCTTCAGAATATACCAGTGACTTCTAAATCGACAACAGGAGTTGCGATGTGAGTGTAGCAAAAGCCTTCAAAAGCATCGCTAAAGGAAAAGACAGGACAACGTGGAGATCTATAATTTTTTCCCTGCTACACTTTAATTGCCCTTTGCTGGCATGCACTGCATAAATTAAGAGCTAGTTAATGCTGTAATGCGTAAACCAATTTCATGCATCTTAAATATTGCACTTGTACTGTAATTCCACATTAAGTGGTCCCCTGAAATTTTTAAATTTACAAAGTCACTGCTGTGCTACATGAAAAAGGTGCTAATTAAGTGTTAATCAGTAGCCAGATAACCTTCCCTGAACCCGGCCCAAGGTCTCCAAAATGACCCATTGCTGGAGAGCACAGTGTGATGGCCACAGAACAGAGAGCGCAGAGCAGACGGGAAATGGGGTCTTAGCCACATCCCAGCCAATTACGGCAGATTTGCCCATTATGCAGTTCTAATTAAATGACATCCACTATAGTGGACATGAGGCTAATAATAACAATAATAGTATTTAATACTGGCAGAGCTTTTCATACTCAAAACACTGGGAAAACCCCAGCCAATTAACAAGTGAGTGTCCGTTTCTGGACAAGCAGAGGGCTTCTTTTGGGTGGACTTGCTAAGAATTTTGGGGCATGCGCAGGGTAGATAAAGTAAAAAGATAGAGTTCTCCCCTTTCAGGGACTCACCATCTTAGAGACCAGAGCTACTGAAAGTGTGGTCTGGGAGCCACAGCAGGTGCACAACGAGATAAGCAAGCATTCAGAAACTGAGAGCAACTTGACCAAGCACGTGATCCGTGGACTCTTGTCTAGCAGGAGACACCGGAGTCCACCGTTCCATGCTGAGTCACGTGTGGCCTGAGGCTCGTAACAGGCAGACATAGTAGTGTCCCCAGCGCGTGGGAAATTTGTATTTTGTATGTTACCCACAGCTGAGGTTTGACCGCGTCCCCAGTGGTTCACGTGCTGCAGGCGTCAGCTGCAATGGCATCTGTTGATGGCACTTAAAGGTGGGGCCCTTGTGAGGGCATTAGGAGGAGAGAGTGTGGCCCCGATGGCGGCATAGATGGCTTTTAAAGGAAGGGGAGACACCCGGGCTGGTCCCCTGGCTCGGTTGGCTGTGTTAGGACGCAGTAAGAAGGCCATCGCCAGGGGCTAGTGCCACGCTCTTGCACTTCCCAGCGCCCAGAATGTGCAACTGAGTTGGTCTCAGGATTTTGTTATGGCAACAGAAAGCAGGCAATGACGTATATCTATAATCAAGTCCGCCCCTTCACCACTGACGCTTTGAGACGCGCCGGTGCAGACCTGCTACTGTAGAATGAGGGGATACGGGTTCAGGTATGTCCCCACAAACAAAGGAAAAGAACCGGGGAGGGGGCTCTGCAGCCCGCCCGTTCTCACATCCGGATTTTTCTTTGTGCTGTTGTTCTGCTAGGAAAGCCCTGTGGCTCCCCAGTGACCCCACGCCCCGCCCAAGCGCGTTCACAAGCAGGAAGTCATTTGGGTTCCTGGAAATGCTACTTCCTTCTGGAAGGCTTCGCTGAGCCCACCCGTGTGGCACTGCTCACCCTGTGCCGAGTGCATGTCTGTCACTTTGGCAGACAGGATTGGCAGAACTTTGTGGGGAGCGGGCAGGGAGGGCTCATGTTTATGACTGAACGCCTGCTGCAGAGCGCACAGTAGGTGCTCAGTAAATGAAGTGTTCCCCACAATTTTAAAACACTGTGTGAGGGGCCGGGGCTCTAACCTAGTGGATAAAGCTGCCCCTGCAGTGCCAGCATCCCAAATGGGCGCCGGTTCGAGCCCCAGCTGCTCCACTTCTGATCCAGCTCTCTGCTAATGGCCTGGGAAAGCAGTAGAAGATGGCCCAGGTTCTTGGGCCCCTGCACCCACGTGAAGACCCAGAAGAAGCTCCTGGATCCTGGTTTTGGATCAGCCCAGCTCCAGCCATTGCAGCCTTTTGGGGAGTGAACCAGAAGACAGAAGATCTCTCTCTCTTTTTCTCTCTCTGCCTCTGCCTCTCTGCAACTCTGCCTTTCAAATAAATAAATAAATACATAAATAAATCTTTTTTAAAAAAAACTGCTTGAAATATACCTAGCGTTGCATTTGCCATTGTAACCACTTCATTTTGTAAATAAACATTTATTGATCTATTTGAGAGGCAGAGTGATGGAAGGAGAGAGGGAGACAGAAAGAGAGATCTTCCATCTACTGGTTCGCTTCCCAAATGGCTGCAATGGCCAGGATCGGTCCAGTCCAAAGCCAGGAGCCAAGACCTCCATCTGGGTCTCCCACATGGGTGGTAGGGACCCCAGCTACTTGGGCCATCCTCCGCTGCTTTCTCAGGCACAGTGGCAGGGAGCTCGATTGGAAGTGGAGCAGCCAGGACTCGAACCTGCTCTCTGATAGGGGTTGCTGGTGTCGCAAGCAGTAGCTTAACCCGCTGCACCAATGCCAGCCCCACCATTTTACCTACTTCTGGAGCGTACAGTTCAGGGGTATTAAATTGACTCACATCATTGCACAACCACCACCACCATCCCTCTCCAGAATTTTTTTTTAGTCTTGCAAATAAAAAAAAAATCCATATCCATTAAACATTAATGCCCCTTTTTCCCAGTCTGCTCCCCCCAGCCTCTGGAAACCCGCATTCTACTTTTTGCCTCTATGGATCTGACTACTCTGAGAACCTTGTATGAGTGGAATCACACAGTATTTGTCCTTTTGCGACTGGCTCATCTCACTTAGCGTAATGTCTTCGATCACATGTTGTTGCATGCATGAGGGTTCCTTTCCCTTTTAAATGAATTCAGTTTTAAACTAGTCAGGATTATCTTACAGTTGTGCAATGAGTAGGCAGGCACATGCCCCCCCCCCTCCGTTCCCTTCCCCCCATGTCCAGTTCCGCCTGTGTTCAAAGCAGGGAACAGGGAGAGGACAAAGCAGTTGATGATCCAGGAGGTGGCAGCAGATGACAAAGGGGCACTGTGCTCCACAGCGCTTCTCCCCTCCCCCACCCCTGCTGGCTCTGCTTCCTGCTCTGCGGTCAGCCTCTGAAGCGCAGGAGATCCTAAATTTGGACAGCCTTCTCAGCAGAGAACAGGCCTGACGGAGGGCGGCAGGGCGGAAGTGACAGTAGAAACGGACTCCGAGTCCCAGCTGTGGTCCCACCAACCTTTGCTGGGGGGCCTTGCACAAGCCGTCTAACCTCTCTGAGCCTGGTCTGTAAAACCAGGATGATAGGGGCAGGTGTTCTGCATGGGGTTAAGATACCATTGGGGAGGCCCGCATCCCATATCACACAGTTCAAGTCCCAGCTCCGCTTCTGGTTCTAGCTTCCTGCTAATGCACACTCTGGGAGGCAGCAGGTGCAGGCTCAAGCGGTTGGGTCCCTGGTCCCCATGTACAAGTTGGGGACTCCTGGCTTCAGCCCTGGCCGTTGTGGGCATTTGAGGAATGAACCAATAAATAGAAGATCTTTTTCTCTCTTCTCTCTCTCTCTCTCTCTCTCTCTCTCTGCCTTTCCTTTCAAATAAGAAATAAATTTTAGAAAAGCATTCAGAGGGGGGAAAATATTATAAATTAATAATAACAAAATAAGGCTGGCACCGCAGCTCACTAGGCTAATCCTCCGCCTTGCGGCGCCGGCACACCAGGTTCTAGTCCCGGTCGGGGCACCGGATTCTGTCCTGGTTGCTCCTCTTCCAGGCCAGCTCTCTGCTGTGGCCCGGGAGTGCAGTGGAGGATGGCCCAAGTGCTTGGGCCCTGTACCCCATGGGAGACCAGGAGAAGCACCTGGCTCCTGCCTTCGGATCGGCGTAGCATGCTGGCCGTAGCAGCCATTTAGGGGGGTGAGATGATGGAAAGGAAGACCTTTGTCTCTGTCTCTCTCTCTCTCTCACTGTCTAACTCTGCCTGGCAAATAATAATAATAATAATAATAATAACAACAACAAAATAAAATTGGGATGATAGCCCAGTGTATCTCACCTCTGATGAGTTCATACATAGAAGCCACTGGTAAGCTATTAAGTACCGCGTGTGTGCTAATTGTTGCTTTACCCCTACTTTGAAGGTCATTATAAAGAGGAAGGTGAAAAAATAGTACTGCGTCATTGAAGCTTCACCTTTGGGGCATTTCCATTTCCTTTCTCTTCTCTCCCACCCTCCAAACCCTTTGCTTTCGGAAGAGCCCCTGCTCCACTCACCCAGCGCCATTCCCTGCCACGACACTGCCAATGTGAGATGCACGCGGGGGTCAACAGACACGGATCGGATTGGGCACAGGAGACACCAAAGGCCAAGGGGCCAGTGGCTCTCCCTGGACGAGGCTGCACCGCGAGCTTGAAGCCACACAGGAGGGTACTCCAAAAAGTTCATGGAAGATGGAATTAAGAGAGTTGAGTTCCATGCAAACATTTCTGAAATCCAGTTTCTTCCTAATATGCGTTTTCCCTGAACTTTTTGAAGACCCTCTTTCATCCCTCCCTGCCTCCCCAGACCTCTCCTCTCTCCTCCTCCTCCTGTGACCAGGAAGCTAAACCCCCCCACCTCCCCCACACTCATCTCAAAGAGCGCCCCACCCCCTGGCTCCCATTGGCCAGTTCCAGCCAATGAGGAAGCCCCATCGAGAGATCGGCAGGTTGGAGAAGACAGAGACAAAGTATTTATTCTCCAGCTTCCTCTCTGTGAAGTCTCCTTGGCCCTGCTCCTTATAAGGTCTCCTTCTGTACTCCACGTGATCTCCCCCTTCTCCCTCTCAGTCCAGGGCGGGAACAGCGCGGCTGCTAATAGCCCCTGCTGCTTGTACTATCCCCACATCTTTGTGATGGCCAATAGGGTGGAGGGAGGGAGAAATGGGAAAGTTTCATTTTCGGAATGCTACCTGTCCTCTGTGAGAGATGTTTGTTGACCAAGATTAAAGCAGGACTTGACTTCACACACCTCTTTGGTCCCTGGCAGAGCCAGGGGTCTACAGTTGTGTGGAACATCAGAGTATGCGGGGGGTGTTGTGGCCGCCACCTGTGAAGCCAGTGTCCCGTACCGGAATGTTGGTTCAAGTCCCCCGCTACTCCACTTCCAATCCAGCTCCCGGCTAATGCGCCTGGGACAGCGGCGGAAAATGGCCCAAGTGCTTGGGCCCCTGCACCCACGTGGGAGACCCGGATGGGCTTCTGACTTCCCAGTTCTGGCTATTACAGGCATTTGGGGAGTGAACCAGTGGATGGAAGTGTCACTCCACCTTTTGAATAAATGAAGAGATATTTTTTAAAAAAGTGCAACAGCCACCAAGTTCTCTTCTTCAAGAACCTTCTGAGTGCTCTTCCTAAAGATGCTGCTCCCCCGCCCCCCTCTCCCCCCTCCCCGCACTGGGCCCCGCCCACTGACTGTTCCCATGGCCACTGCTGATTGGACAAGGAAAGCGCACCTGACTTGCATGGACCAATCCGATGCTCTCCCAGGAGTTCGGCCTTGGCATATCTTCGCAGTCCTTTGTTGGCTGTTTGACCTAGGAGGATGCTTTGTGCCAGGCACGGTTCTGGGCACAGGGAGACAGAAACGAACAGATGCAGGAGGCCGTCCTGTGCGCAGAGCAGCAAAGGCCGAGAGAAAGGAAAGAAGCGAGCTTGGAGGAAAGCAGGCGTGTGAGCTCGGGGAGCCCTGTAGAGGGAGCAGAGCGGGGCGTGCACGGCTGCCCAGTTCCTTCTTCCACTTCCCAGAGGCCAGCTGTACTTCTTGTCCTTGAGTCTCCGCGATGGCCTCATGTCCTTCCCATAAATTCTCCCTCTTTACTTAAGCTTGCGCAAGAGGGCTTCTGCTGCGTGCTGCGAGGCCGCGCCTGCCCGAGGCGCGCCACGTGACACACTTAGCTCACAGTCCCCGAGGGGCACTTTATCCTTTGTGCAGGCTCTCAGCCATAAATTTTGAGTCTCCACCTGGCTTCCCCTGGCCAACCAGTGAGTGTCTTTCTGGCTTAACTTTTGTTCTCGCTGGCCACCAATGAGCTTGCGTCACCACATCTGATCGCCTCCCTTGCCCTCTGGCTGGCCCACGGGGTGGCTCAGACACCTGTCTGTCCTGCTACTCCTCCTCCCTCTCCTGCAGATCTTCATTTGTCTCCTTGTCCAGCTGTCCTGGCAACCCGAGCTGCCTCTTCCCATTCTTTCCGGCTCCTCGGCGATCCCCTCCCGCACCATGGTTGCCATCACCAATGTCCGGAGTTTGCATCTGGCTTCGAACCGCTCAAGTCCCCGTTCCCACCCAGCTGCTGGGAGCATCTATGTGAGTACACCCCCCCCAGCCCCCTCACTTTATGTGCCCCCCCAAGTGATCTCAGTATTTCCACTCCTAAGCCTAACCCTCCACTGGGTTTGGTTAACGACGCACAAAGTGTCTGTGCCCTCCATCAGTGACTTCTCAGAGCCTGGGGATTGGGGCCATGCTCCTTATCCCTCCCTCTGCCAGGAAATGTGTTTGGCCTCGCTCAAACTGTGTTTCCGGTTTCCTTCACCCTTGCTGCTCCCATGGGAGTGAGGCACTGCGACCTCTGGTGCTACGGCGCGCACTGCCACTCAAGGCGAGGCCCACTGGTGCAGCCCAAGGATCAGGAGAGAAGTCCCCTGCGGCCTGTGGGCCGTCACGTGGAGGGTGGAGGCTGCCCCCTTAGAGTGGGGGTCCTGCGGGCCTTTGTCCCCTCAGGGATCCCATACCACCCCCTGCCCCTGTGGGTATTAGCAAGCTTCCATTCAGCACCCAAGGGAAGCTCGCTCTAGCCTGTCCGAAGACCACTGGGGGGAGGCAGGCTGGGATGGTACAAGAAGCCAGGCTGTCGCTTCGGAGCTGGGCACAGGCCGATTGTCACCGCCTCCGCCTTGTGGCTGGGAATCTTCAACAACCGACCCCTCCCCCGCACTGTGCTGCCAGAGTGGCCCCCAGCGACACCCTGGGCCGCACGAGGACCCACTGGGGAGGAAGTGCGCTTCCTGGGGGTGGAGTACCCGAGGAAACACCAGCTGTTGCAACAGACGAGCTTCCAAGGCCCCATGTGGCTTCCCCGAACACAAGGCTGTTTATCGCTGACATAACGTTCAAAATGTGCGCTCCCCCAAAGTGTGCAAGAGCACGTGGGGGGTTTCCGCGGGTCAGACCGGCTTGTGCCGGCCATCTTTTCTACGCACACGCTATTGGCCAGGATGATGTCACGTGGCCACACCTCCTTGCAAGGCCGTCTGGGAAATGTAGTTCACCAAAATGGCTTTGCGAAACAGCTGGTTTGTTTCTTCTCCAGAGGCCATAGGGAAACCTCTGGTCTCCAAACTCCTCGTGGGCTTCTGCCGAGAGAGTGGAGACCGGGAGAAGGAAGGCCTGGGCCGACAGGAAACCACACGAGTGGACCTTTGAGGACTCACCCAACAGCAGAGAGGTGGCCCCGAATTTGGGGTTACCACGTTCTCCTGACCAGCCCGATTCTCTCACTTACTCGGCATTTCCCACTACACACAGGAATACAGAACCGCAAAGTGTCTACTTACTGTAATGAGGCAACAGTCATGCAACTTTAAAAAAATATATATATATATATGGCCAGCGCCACGGCTCACTAGGCTAATCCTCCGCCTTGCGGCGCCGGCACACCAGGTTCTAGTCCCGGTCGGGGTGCCGGATTCTGTCCCGGTTGCCCCTCTTCCAGGCCAGCTCTCTGCTGTGGCCAGGGAGTGCAGTGGAGGATGGCCCAAGTTCTTGGGCTCTGCACCCCATGGGAGACCAGGATAAGTACCTGGCTCCTGCCATTGGATCAGTGCGGTGTGCCAGCCGCAGCGTGCCGGCCGCGGCGGCCATTGGAGGGTGAACCAACGGCAAAGGAAGACCTTTCTCTCTGTCTCTCTCTCTCTCACTGTCCATTCTGCCTGTCAAAAAAAAATAAAAATAAAACAATATATATATATATATAAAATTTATATTTTTTCATTCCAATTGAAAGGGAGAGAGAGAGAGAGCTCCCATCCACTGGTTCACTCCCCAAATGCCTACAACAGCTAGGACTGAGCCAAGCTGATGCCAGGATCTTCAACCCTATTCCGGGTCTCCTATGTGGGCTGTCAGGACCCAACTACTTGAACCATTGGTTGCCGCCTCCTAGGGTGCATATTAGGAACAAGCTGGGTTGAAAGCGGAGGAAATGGAGCCAGCATTGTGGTACAGAGGGTTAAGAACTACTTGCAGTGCCGGCATCCCATATGGGCGCTGGTTTGAGTCTTAGCTGTTCCTCTTCCAATACAGCTCCCTGTTAATGCTAGTGCTTGGGTCCCTGCCATCTACATGGGAGACCCAGAAGGAGTTCCAGGCTCCTGGCTTTGGCCTTGACCAGCACTGACTGTTGCAGCCATTTGGGGAGTGAATCCGCAGATGGAAGATCTTTTTCTCTCTCTCTTTCTCTCTCTCTATCTCTCTCTGTCTCTCCTTCTGTCACTCTACCTTTCAAATAAATAAATAAATCTTAAAAAAGAAAGACAGACAGACAGAGGAGGACCTGGGTCCCGAACCAAGCACTCAGATACGGGATGCAGGCTTCCAGAGCAGTGTCTAAACCAAGTCAACTTTCAGCAGGTGCATGGTTGCCCCAGCCCCTGTGCCGCTGGGTCCTGGAGCTGGCCACTGAGCTGAGGATCAGAGTGACTGGATCAGGAAGGGATGAAGAGAAAGGGTCAGCTGACTGAAAGGCTATGCTGTCCACTTGGGTAGCCCTTAGCCACGTGGCCCTTAGCCACGCGTGGCTACTTGCGTTTAAATCTGTTACAATGAACCAAAATTAGGCATGCAGTTCCTCAGTTGCAGCGGCCACGTGTCAAGTGCTTCAAAGCGGTATGTGGCTGGTGGTCCCCGTATTGGACAGCGCAGACATGGGGCATTTGCTTCACGACGCAAAGTTCTATCGCACAGCGCTAATCTAAAGGCGCCCCTGACTTTCAGACCAACCCAGCGGGAAAGAGGGAAGTAAAAAAGGAGAAGAGAGACCCGCAGGAAGAACCTGTAGAAAGGAAAGAGAAAAGTAAGAAGAAGTGTCCTAGGCTGTGAGGCCGTTCTGCTTCTCTGTTCTCACCTGCGTTTTTCTGCATCTCACGACCTAACCAGCCATGCGCAGGTGGAAGCTACGTTTTTGTCCATGGCTGAGTGGCTCAGAAGCCCTGTGCAGCTGAGGGAAACGTGGCCCCGTAGGGAGAACCAGGCTGGCCAGCTTGTCTCTCCTTGCCAGACCATGCCGTGCCGTGAGGGCTACATGAGCCTCTGATTGGCTGCTCCCAGGCCAGGGAGCCATTCTAGCCCAATCAGCTGCAGCCAGTGGGGAAGGATGGACTACACGGCAAAGGATATGGCTCCTCACAGGGTAGAATGTGAGGAAAGACAGCCCCTTAAGAGGAGAGCCTAAGGCTGTAGATATAATGAGGTTGGCCAGCCCAGGATAGAAGCGAATAGACCAAAGCTGTGTGGACAAAGC